CTGAGTTGATAGACTTTGCTGCCCGCTGTCGTCTAGACTACGCCACTAGCCTTGTTGCTGAGTCTGAGTCTGAGTCTGTCTGTCCTCCGTCCGTCGGGGGTGAGTGTGCTCTTGGCACGGACGTCCTTGAGGACAGACAGGAGGAGTTCCAGTGCTTTGCTGCTGCTTTGCCCCACCTCGTGTCCATGCTAGTTGCCCCTGAGGGAGACCCGGATGCACCAGACATCCCGACCCCGCGCACTTACGCTGAGGCGATGGCGGGTCCCTACTCCTCTCAGTGGCAGACAGCCATGGACGCAGAGATGGCTTCCTGGAAGTCCACACGCACCTACGTCGACGAGGTTCCCCCACCTGGGGCGAACATCGTCAATGGCATGTGGATTTTCAGGGTGAAGCGGCCACCGGGTTCTCCTCCTGTCTTCAAGGCGCGCTACGTGGCTTGAGGCTTCAGTCAGCGAGAGGGAGTTGACTTCTTTCAGACCTTCTCCCCCACCCCGAAGATGACCACTCTTCGGGTGCTGCTGCACATAGCCGCTCAGCGCGACTACGAGCTTCACTCACTTGACTTCAGCACTGCTTTCTTGCAGGGCAGCCTGCACGAGGAGATCTGGCTGCGCCGCCCACCTGGCTTCACTGGGTCGGTTCCTCCTGGTACCCAGTGGAGGCTTCAGCGGCCGGTCTACGGTCTCCGCCAGGCACCGCGTGAGTGGCACGACACACTGAGGACGACACTTGCGGCTCTTGGGTTCGCTCCCTCTACTGCTGACCCGTCACTGTTTCTACGCACAGACACCTCACTGCCGCCGTTCTACATCCTCGTGTACATCGACGACCTGGTCTTTGCCACTGCTGACACCGCGGCACTCGCCCACGTGAAGTCGGAGCTGCAGAGGAGACACACGTGCACAGACCTGGGTGAACTGACAAGCTATCTTGGCTTGCGGATCACCCGGGACAGAGCACGGCGCACCATCACCTTGACTCAGTCACACATGGTGCAGCAGATCCTTCAGCGCTTCCGCTTCACGTACTCCTCGCCTCAGTCCACTCCTCTGCCTACCGGTCACTCGCTCTCAGCTCTGCCTTCGGATGAGTCCGTAGAGCTGAGTGGCCCGTATCCAGAGCTTGTGGGCTGCCTCATGTACCTGATGACCTGCACTCGACCTGACCTTGCATACCCTCTTAGCATCCTTGCACGCTATGTCGCTCCTGGCCGTCACAGGAAGGAGCACATGGATGCCGCTAAGAGGGTGTTGCGCTACTTGTGCAGTACGTCGGGCATGGGGCTAGTGCTTGGAGGGCGAGACCGAGTTGTACTTACTGGACACTCAGACGCTTCTTGGGCGGACGACCAGGCTACTCAGCGGTCGTCTCAGGGTTACACCTTCAGCCTTGGCTCCGGCTCAGTTTCTTGGCGTTCTACACGCTCTTCTTCTGTTCTCAGCTCCAGTTGTGAGGCTGAGATCTACGCCACAGCCATGGCTGCCCAGGAGCTACGCTGGCTGACCTACCTGCTGACCGACTTGGGTGAGCGGCCTCGTTCTCCTCCAGTGCTGTACGTCGACAACCAGGCTGCCATTGCCTTGTGTGAGGAGCACAGACTGGAGCACAGAACGAAGCACATCGCCCTGCGGTACTTCCTTGCTCGAGAGCTGCAGCAGCGCGGTCAGCTTTGTCTGCGTTACGTGGCCACTGAGGCCAACCTTGCTGATGTGTTCACCAAGGCGCTTCCGCCTTGTGACCATCAGCGCTTCTGCACTCTGCTAGGCCTTGTGCCTACTGGACCTCACTTACTTACCTCTTGACCTTGCTTGTACTGTGATCACTATATATATATATCTACCTGCATGTTTACTCTTGCTAGGTTGTGATCACTGTATCTCTTGCTCTATTATAAACCTGCATGTGAACTGGTCTTGTGACCACTAGCTTGTGCTCGGAATTTGTGTGGAATCCTTGAGATCCACCCTGAGCTTGTTGTTGCCTTGCTTTGCCTTGACTGGTCTTGTGACCCCTAGGTCTCCCCCACTTTGCCTATGGGGGTGTGTCAAACATTATATATGTTGTATTTGTGTAGGCTGTAGTGGGTTAGCCTATAGGGGGGTCACAACATTAGGGTTTCATATTTGTACTCACAATCCTTTCTAGTCCATCATTCCAGTCAGTTATTACGACACACAACACCTACGATTCTTAGGCGTCGAGTTGGACACTGACTCCGGAAAATTCTCCATTGGCGCCGATCGGTGAGCATCGCTCCACACACACCTTCAGAACCTGCTGAACGCAAGCAAAGCACGCCGACATGTTCCAGTCCGGCACCTGGCCCGAATCACTGGCACACTTGCGTCAATGGCGGTCGCGCTAGGCGCCACGACTCGTGCATTTAGCCACGCTATGGTACAAGCGATCAACGAAGCGCCATCCCGGGGAAGCAGCGTAAGCATAACCCCATCGGTTGTAGAGGAGCTACAGTTCTGGCTCGAGGAGTTTGACAAATTCAATGGCGCACCATTCCACGTCCGGAATAGTTACGATGCAGTGATTCACGTGGACGCCAGTTCCCACAGTTGGGGCGCTACTCTGCTCACCTTCCCTGGCGAAATTGAAGAGGCCAGCGCAACCATGCCAGAACCATTGCAAGCAACGTCCAGCACTCGGCGGGAGATTGAAGGCGTCCTTTGGGCCCTTCGGACGTACGCGAACAAAGTCCAGCAGAAACACGTGCTCGTGAGGGTGGACAACCAAGGGGTCTTCTTCATCCTTCGCAAAGGCGGTTCGCGCACCCCCGACCTGACCACTGCTTGCAAGGACATCATCCGCATCTGCATGGAGCTCGGCACTCGTCTAATCATTGAATGGATTCCGCGCGAGCTCAACTCCCACGCGGACGAGTTGTCAAAAATAATAGACCATGACGACTACTCCTTGAAGCTACAAGTTCACCTTCTAAAGATGCTCACACAGTCTCGCGCCGACTCAACGATCCGAACATACGAGCCTTACTGGGCCAAGTTTCGAGCATTTTGTACCAAGGTAGACCTCGCCTTCCTCCCCGCCTCAGACATGACCCTTGCGCTATACTTGGTGCACGCCATCCAACACAAGGTTACATTGTCCATGGTACAACTCACATACTCAGCCGTAAGCTTTGCACACCGCATGACCGGGAGCACATGCCCAACGACCGGACCATTCACCACTCAAGTACGCGACTTTGCGAAACGACACTGCAATCGCCCCACGCGTGTCAAGGAGCCCGTCTCGCTGCAACAAGTCCGTGACATGGCGGCGAGCTACCTGCAATCCGACAACCCTGGGGAATTCCAGAAGGGGTTAATTCCCATCCTCATGTACGCTGGCTTCCTACGATATTCGGACCTTACCGCCATCGAGTGGCAAGACATCCAATTCGACAACGAGGTCATGTGGATCCTATTCCGTACTCCAAAACTGACCAAGCAGGGAGGGGCACATGGATACCCATCGCGGCAACTCATGACCACTTCTGCCCTGTCCGCTGCACCCGACGGCTCATCCACCTTGCGAGATATGATCAGCAGTCCGTGGGGCCGCTGATTCGCGTCTTCGGACACGGTTCAACCCAAGGTGGCCAAGCAAGGCCACCATCGTACCCGACGATTCGCAACTGGTGCAAAGAAGCCTTCGGGAAAATCGGATTAGGAGAACAGCAGCTCGGCACTCACTCCTTTCGCAAAGGGGCAGCAACTGCTGCAGCAAACACCGGCGTGCCGGACAGAATCTTCAAACGGCTGGGAAGATGGCGCAGCGACACAGCGAAGGAGATGTACGTCACGCCAAGCGCCGAACACCTCATCAGCGCTTCCCGCCAATTGCAAGACATGACCTACGCCCCTTCTTCGACTCAGCACAACGAGGCAGTCGCCCGTCATCGAAAGCCCCCGCTGCCCATGTCTCAGGGACCCCAGTTGAAATGAGAACGATGCCAAATACAGTATAAGAAAGCAAGCTTTCTAAATATGATAATTTTTAAACACATGAAGTGTTTTTTAAAATTACTTATTTCGAAAGCGCAGCTGCCTGTAACGCAGATTTTGGCATCGTCGAAGCGCGCTAAACGCCCTTCTCCAACTACAAAACGTGGGTTGGAGCTCATTTCCCTCCACCCACGTCTCTCATTTTTCAAACGGCTCTTGCAACTCTCCCACCCCCGCCCCAACACCGACGGACACAAGTGTCGCCGCTTGAACGAATAGACGGATAGCTAGGCAATAATTGATAGCAAGTATTTGTCAGAGGTCCACTGGTGATCCCCGATTGATCCTAGGGAAGGGTTACAGGCACGTCGGCCTGGGGGGTTATGGGCGCACTCACCCGCTATATAAACAAGCCCTTTTATCCCAGTGGTTAGTGGCTGGGATTCTGACATGGTATCAGAGCGAAGGTCTCGGGTTCGAATCCCGGTGTGTGCACCTCGGGCATCCTAGTGCGGGGGGGTGTCAGAGGTCCACTGGTGATCCCCGATTGATCCTAGGAAAGGGTTACAGGCACGTCGGCCTGGGGGGTTATGGGCGCACTCACCCGCTATATAAACAAGCCCTTTTATCCCAATGGTTAGTGGTTGGGATTCTGACAGTATTGTGTTTGACGACTAGTACTATGATAGATAGGTAGGATGATGACATGTACTAGCACTTATGGTTTATAGCTCGATGAGCATGTTGTAATTCCCAGTTGAAATGAGAACGATGCCAAATACAGTATAAGAAAGCAAGCTTTCTAAATTATAAAAAATAAGAAAAACACTCACACAACAAGACAAAAACCAACCACAAAAACTACCATAATACAACAAATATCGAGAGGCAAACGCAGCAAAGGTCCATCCGAGCAAATTACGTCTCTGGCACAGCATCCAGGTCATTGAAAAGGAACAGCTACAATGGTAAGCGTAATGACCCCATGGCTCCGAACTGGGGCTCCAATGGTCTTGGAGACATGAGCCTGCGGAGCAGTGCTCACGCATAGGAGGCAGCCACACAAATCTGCAAAAAAGTAGGAAACCAAGGGGAAGCATTGGAAATATGTATTGCTAGAGCATATGTCGACAGTGCATTGCAGACCAGTTCACCCATAACATGAAAGAAGCTATTAATGCGGCCAAACTCACATATTGAGTGTCGTACAGGGCATCACGGAAGGCTATCGAGGGATTGATCCTGCAGAGGTCCACCATGGTGAGTCCATGGGATGCCGCCACCTGCTTGAAGTCGACACTGCTGCCGGTCTCTATCACATTCGCACAGGTCGGTCTGCCCTTGGCTGGGTCGCGCTCCACACAGAGAGAGCGGAATGCAAGGAGGGCAGAGGAACAGCTAACACCGGGGTTGAGCTGCTGCAGGCTTTCCTCGGTAATGTCGAGAAACTGAGCCACGGATGAGCATGTGTCGGCCTGTGGAAGCGGAAGGGAAGTGGAAAATGGTAAGGAAGCAGTTTGAGAAGGAAGAGGTGGTCTAAAAGGGTGAACGAAGATGCTGGCAACGCTAGGGGGAAAAAAAAGACTGAGTGGCATGAGGTCTTCCTGCTGCTTGGGCGAAAGATGGTCAGGCGAAGAGTGAAGGGGGAAGAGGAAGCACAACACATGGTGGCAGATGGTGGCACTGGTAGCATCCCTGCTATCGATACGTGATGCATGGGATGCTCCCAGAGCAGGAGCAACACATGAGACTCACCGGCTGGACGTAGTAGAAGGCAGAGCAAGCTGGAAGAAGCTCTTTCACCTCGAGCTCGTGACCCTTAGGAAGGAGAGCGGAGCAGTCGATATCCTGGAGGGGAAGGGGCAGTGAGGAAGAAGGAGAGCTTGAGGGAGATGGAGAAGAGGTAGAGAGAGCACGAGAGGGTGGAAGATAAGGCACAGAAACAAGATTGGCTTGACACGCTCAACAAATGCACACAGGCTTGCACAAAGTGAGATGGCTCGGTGCAACACGTGGCAGATAGGGTGATAGTAGATGTGGCAGGCCTTACCGGGTTCATGGCAGTGAACTGCTGCAGCGTGAGGCCATACATGGTGTACACGTCCTTGCACCTCCAAGTGCTGCCTTCGACCGTGATGGACGAAACGACATTCGTATCCACATCTGCACACGCTCCACAGGAAGGGTGATAAGGCCATGAATGAGCCACATATCAGCAACGGATGATACGACTTTGACATGCTCCGTCACAGCAACACATTTAATCTGGGAAACACGTGTGAAGTGCTCGCAGTACACTCTATCGTGTGAAGAATTGCCAGCAGAGAGCGAGGATACCACAGTTGTAGCCGTGAGAGCTCACCACAGGAGCTGCCATAAGAGCGGTGGTTGGGCCGGCAGACGCAGGTCCAGTCCTCCATGCCGTGGTCAATGCACGTGCCCCCCGAACACGGGTTGACTATGTAGTAGCCACATATGCTCGCTGGCAGGGGATACACACAAGGAGCAGAAGATGGCAAGCACTGAAGTGGCAAGGAGGATGCAATTGGGGTTCTCCGTGGGACAGGCAAGGGCACAGAAGACGAGGAGCATTGCTGCTGCCAGTACTGAAATGCTTTGATCAGGCAATGTTTCTCCTTAAGGGGAACAAGCGATGCCCGCCCCAAAAAAGCCCCTCGCGTGGAACCAGAATGATTATGGCGAGAATGGATGGCGAACAACAGCATTGAGGCTTACTGCTTGAAGTCTCTTCGTCGGGGTACTCAGAAGAAGGTGGGTTGTCGCTGGAAGGTGGGTTGTCGCTGGAAGATGCGGGGTGAGGTGTGCTGTCGCTGGGAGGTGTGTTGTCGCTGGGAGGTGTGTTGTCGCTGGGAGGTGTGTTGTCGCTGGGAGGTGTGTTGTCGCTGGGAGGTGTGTTGTCGCTGGGAGGTGTGTTGTCGCTGGAAGGTGTGTTGTCGCTGGAAGGTGTGTTGTCGCTGGAAGGTGTGTTGTCGCTGGAAGGTGTGTTGTCGCTGGAAGGTGTGTTGTCGCTGGAAGGTGTGTTGTCGCTGGGAGGTGTGGTGTCGCTGGGAGGTGTGGTGTCGCTGGCAGGAGGTGTAGCGTAATGGGCAGCCATGCAAAGCTGCAAAAGAAGATGCACCAGACGCAATGGAACACACAGGAATCAAGGACTGGAATCAGAAGAAGCTACAACTCATGCTGCACGCATGGAGATGAGGCCAAGTGGGAAATTATTCGTTTTACGAAATGTATCGACGTACAGATAGAATATGTATCCACCAGTAATGCACAACCAGCAAATACTCAGTTGTTTGCCTAAACTTACATAATCAACCTCGCCCCTGGAATCACGGAAGGAGAGCCAGGGGTTGAGCCTGCAGAGGTCCACCATGGTGACTCCATTGGATGTTGCCACCTGCTTGAAGTCCACCACTTTGCCGATCTCTATCTCGTTCTCACAGCTTGGCCTGGTCTTGGTTGGGTCGCGCTCCACACAGAGAGGACGGAACGCAAGGAGGCGAGAGGAGCAGCTAACACCGGGGTTCAGCTGCTCCAGGCTTTCCTCGGTGATGTTGAGGAATTGAGCCACAGAAGCGCACGTGTCGGCCTGGAAGCGGAAGTTAAAGGGAAAGAAGATGCAGCAACAGAGAGGTAGTGGAACGCTGGGAACGCTAAGGTGCAAAAAGCAATGAGTGGCACGTGCTCTTCCTGCTGCATGGGCGAAGGATGGTCAGGGAGGGAGTGAAGGGTGAAGAGCACAGTACATGGCAGCACATGGTGGCTTACATACGTGATGCACGGGATGCTCCCATAGGAGGAGCAACATGTGAGACTCACAGGCTGGGTGTAGTAGAAGGCAGAGCAAGGTTCTAGAAGCTCTTGCACAACGAGGTCGCGGCCCTGAGGAAGGAGAGCGGAGCAATTAATATTCTGGAAGGGAAGGGAAGGGAGAGGGTGAGGGAGATGGAGACAGTGGAGCAGAGGGGGAGAGTGAGGATGAGAGAGGGAGGAGATGAGCGAGAAAGACGGTGAGTGAGAGGAGAGGCGGAGGAAGGAGAGGGGGAGGGTGAGAGGTCGAGGGGTACAGAAACAATAATGGATCAATATGCTCAATAAAAGCACATATGATTGCATGAACTGAGGTGGTTCGGCGCAGCATGTGGCAGAATGAGCTGTGGCAGGGCTCACCGGGTTCATATCGGTGAACTGTTGCAGCGTGAGGCCATACATGATGTACACGTCCTTGCACCTCCAGTCGCTGCCTGCGACTGTGATGGACGAAATCGCCTCCCAACCCTGATCTGCCATTGCCCAAGAAAACACCACCCTGAATTTAATGTGTAAACGAATGTTCACAGAAAAGACCAGAAGGAGGGCTTACCACAGGAGCTTCCATGAGAGCGACGGTTGGGTAGACAGACGCAGGTCATGTCGTTGCCACGGTCGATGCACGTGCCCCCCATACACGGGGTGACTCTGTCGTCGCCACACACGCCCGCTGGCGGAGGGACACGCACAAGGAGCAGAGGAGGGCAAGCACTGGAGTGGCAAGGAGCATACAATTGGGGATCCGTGGGGCAGAGAAGACGAGGAGCATCGGTGCTGCCAGTACTGAAATGCTTTGAAATGCCCCACCTAGCCCCCTCGCGTGGGAACGAACACCGCATTGGGGCTTACTGATTGAACTCTCTTCGTCAGGGTACTCAGGAGCAGCTGCGCTCTGGGCGGCACCAATGATGCAGCGGGCGGACCTGATTCCATTGTGGAGAGGCCTGGATCTGCACGGAGAGGCACCATGAGAGCAACGTCGCTGGTCAGGTGGGGGGTGAAGGAATGGCGTTTCGAGCACGGTAGCAGACAGTTGGAGAACGAAGGGCTCACCTCTGCTGGCCTTGCGCGAGAGTGTCCAGCACCCTCCCCTTGCACGTGGGACTCGGGAAGAACTGAATCGCCGTGCAATCCGCCTTGCCTTCCTGCTGCCACCACACCTGCAGCTTCCTCGTCCCGCCGCCAGGTGGAATGGCGACACAGCGGCTCGGATCATCGAAGGAGAAAGAGGGGCCAATCGACATTTTCGTGCCAACCTCTTGGTCATCCCCGCTGGTGGACGGCTGCAGCCTGCGACGGCTGAAAGAGAGGCTGCTGATCGTCATCTGCGTGCCCACCAGCACTTGGGCCTCCACGCTCGTCGCCTCTGCGAGAATGGGAGCACAAAAGATGCGAGGGACATGTCAATGCGCGGCGGTCAATGTGTGGCGGTCAATGCGCGGTCAGCGCAGTGCGACTTGCGCAGGTGCAAGGATGGCGACGCGAGCATGGGTACATGAGTGCATGACCAGATCATGTGGCGCGTGATGCGGGCGTACCAGCGATGACGGCCATGATGGCGAGTAGCGCAAAAAATGCGGCTTTGCCCTTCCCCATGCTGCTGCTTCCAGCGGACGCCTTCGCCCTCTGAGCGGCCGCGTGTTGGAGCAGACGCTGGTGGCTCGATAGCTGGGAGAGACAACACCACGATTGGCGACTGGACGGCACGAGTGGACGGAGCGGCAAACGGGATAGGTGACAGAAAGCAGACGCCGCAGGGCGTTTGGTGCTAACTGGTACAACTGAGGTGATGAGGACGATCGCCTGGAGATGTTATAGGCGGTAGCGCGACTATTGTTGGATTCTGACAGCAGTTTCAGTGTGACTCGCGGAATGCGCGAAGCGGGACCTCTGTGACGGGAGATTCGCACCATCCCCCTCACGGGCGCGACGCCTTGCGCCGTGATCATCGCTGAGAAAGTCGAGCTGAGAACGCGTTCCGTGGCGGTGGCTAAGGCTCCGTAGGGTGCGGGCGGATGGTGTGGTGCAGTTGACGCAGGAACAGCTTCTGGCTCGAGGGAATGAATCGCGTCACGTGGGGGAGAATCAATTTTTTTTTCGCGCGATACCCTCAGGTTGATTCCGGTGCGCAATAGTCTAAGCCGGTACATTCCGAAAACTGTTGTGAAACGCGATCATTGACTGGGTCAAGTACTTCAGAACAAAAACTGGCATTATTGATGGAAATTGGAATACTCCACAAATTGCTAATGTAAGATGATGAATATATCATATTCACACACACACACACACACACACACACACACACACACACACACACACACACACACACACACACACACACAACACCGTAATCTCCCGGATATAGAAGCGTAGGAGACTTTCCTATAATATAACAAAGAACTTACCCTGATTTCAGGGTGATTACAGGCTGCTCACCTGATGGTCTCTGCTGTTACGAATAGTAATATTTGATATTACTGTGCACTTCTCACCGCAGCAAAAGAAGCAGAAAATATCGGGATTGAACGCGAACCGTCAGACAGTTGGAATCGAACCGAAGAGTCAGACGGTTACAGCACATCTGGACCGTCGGAGCAGACAGCATCGGGCAGCTTCAGGCAGGATGGTTTTGGCGGGAACAGTTACGAAACTGTACGCGCCGCACGGTTGGGAATGAATTTGAATAAGGGAATGTACCCCTTAGAGTACATGGCTAGTTAGGTCGTTTCGTATTCCCTTGTACTCATATTTATATTTCTTGTATTTGCATGTTTTATTTTCATCTCAAAGCATCTTACATTCACTCTGCTATTGAGGTCAAGGGCCCACCAAACTATCTCACTGCGTGCGAACCTTCCCGGGTAGATCCTGGGCTACGATCAACTTCTGATCGCAGCATGGTATGAGAGCGGCTCGGGAATCCTTCGCACTGCCACTCCCGAAAATTGCGACATTCGGAAAGTGGCGTCCGGCACACGCTCACGAGTGAAGATGGCCGGAGGATCTGGTGGTCAGACCAATCTGACGGCTGAAGCGCAACCCAACCCGGCTGCGACAAGCGAGAACACGACGACAATCGGCTCCGAAGTTCTCGCACAACTTCTTCAGCGACTCACCAGCTTGGAGCAAGGGCTCCAAACATTGCGGAACGGCGATGCGGGAACATCCTCGCAACCCACTCAACCGGCCCCGACTGGCCAGAACGCCACCCCGCAAACATTCTCCCTCGACACCAATGGCTCAACCCCCAAGACTCCCCGTCCCAGTGAAGAGGCAATTCTCTCTGCGCAATCAAGGTTTCTCAGCATATCAAAAATAAAGACAAGTACCTGTTTTGACGGCAGAAAATTTTATACCTGGAGCTTCGACTTGGAGCTCCTGCTGCAGAACGCGCGAATCTTCCATTATTTCGACGGGAGCTACGCGGAACCCGCTGAGGACACCGACGACGCCAAGGCGAGGTATTACGACGAATCGTTGATGGCGTACGGGGTGCTCATGAGGAATATGTCGCCGGCGGAGCAGCTCAACATTCGTTCTTACAAGACCTCGGCTGCTCCAGCCCTCAACGCCTGGCGGCACCTGACAGGAGTCTATCAGCCCAAGGACTCTGTCTCTTCGAGCCGACTACTCCAGGAACTCCTGGAAACCAAGATGATCGCAGGGGAGAAGGTCAACAACTATCTCAATCGCTGTCGGAGCCTTCGCGACCAAATCGTGAAGCTGGGAAGCACGATTTCAGAGGAAATCTTCGTCAACATCGTGCTTCAAGGGCTCGGCCCAGAGTGGCGGCCCTGCAAGGCGCTTCTCCGACAACAGAGGGTCATCTCGGAGGCCGCCCTTTGCGCCGCCCTTCTCGTCGAACAGAGGGATATGGATCAGCAGCGACCAGCGCCGCGACGAGAACGCGAACGGCTCGCCTTCTACGCCGACAACACTGAAGAGCGAAAGCCACGGCGCCTCTACTGCAAAATCTGCAGAAATTTCGGGCATCTGGCGGATCGATGCAAGAACCGATCCCGCCCTCGCCAGACCAATCCGAGCACCTGGTCCGGCCGTCAAGACGCACGAGGCGACGTGCGTCCAGCCCAGGGGTATCAGCCCCCTCCCGCGCGCAACCTGAACCCAGCGGTTCAGCATCAGCAGCAGCAGCCGTCATCGACTGCCCCAGTTCGCAACGTCATGAGCAACATGGCCATGACCGGCGAGTCGCGTCGTCACCGTGTACGCTCACCCTCACCTGAGCCTGCCCTGCTCCCCATTGGCGCATTCACCAACAACAATCCGTTCAGTCCGCGCCACGATTTCACCGACGACGACGACCAAGACTGGAATCTTCCAGTCCCGCTGCTTGAAAGTCCCCCGCACGTACCTGATATGCGGGTGGCGCCACTTGATTGGCTCTCGCGCGAGCAATTTCTGAAGTTCGACACTCCGCACATCGTCACGCCGCGACTGGCGCTGCTCGCACGTGACGACAACAAGCGCTACAACACCTGGTACCTGGACAGCTGCTGCGACCAGCATATGGTAGGGTCCGAGCGTTACATATCCAATGTCATCCCCACTCCTACCGTCACTTATGTCACTGTGGCGAACAACACGCGCCTGCGCGCAAGCGCGCAAGGCATCGTCGTGCTCAAAGCACGCGGGAGCCGCACGCACATCACGCTCAACGATGTGCTGATCGTCCAGAACCTGCGCTTCAACCTCCTGTCCGCCGCACAGCTCATGGATTGCGGCGTCGACCTCAGCACGGACCGCGCGACGCGAGATATCCTGCTGCACTATGAGGCGCGCAACTTCCCCCGCAGGCAGATCGGACGAGCACACTCCGAAAATGGGGTGTACGTCCTGGACTTCGATATTCCCGACTGCAGCGGCGACTCGCACGAGCTCATTGACCTCGTGCCACTGCGCTTTGAGCACATCCACCGCAGGGATTGGAAGCACCCTGACGGCAAGCCGTGGGTGCCACATCATCCCCACCCACGCGAAACGGCGCTTCACAACCCCAATCCCGATGGAATCTGCAGGGATTGTCACACGCCGACAACCTCAACGAGCGCGATCGCAGGCCGCGGACTCGCCGCCATCGCTGAAGCAGAGCACAACGCGCCGCCTGAGGAAGGCATGTCGCAGCTCGAACTTGAAGTTGCTACCCACGGCGTTTTCGGGACCAGGGAGCATCCCCTCATCGGTCCCCCCTCACAGCACCTTGTCAGAATCCCAACCACTAACCATTGGGATAAAAGGGCTTGTTTGTGTAGCGGGTGAGTGCGCCCATAACCCCCCAGGCCGCCATGCCTGTAACCCTTCCCTAGGATCAATCGGGGATCACCAGTGGACCTCTGACAACCCCCCGCACTGGGATGCCCGAGGTGCATACACCGGGATTCGAACCCGAGACCTTCGCTCTGATACCATGTCAGAATCCCAACCACTAACCATTGGGATAAAAGGGCTTGTTTGTGTAGCGGGTGAGTGCGCCCATAACCCCCCAGGCCGCCATGCCTGTAACCCTTCCCTAGGATCAATCGGGGATCACCAGTGGACCTCTGACACACCTGCAAGGCATGCTGCGTGAAATAGGGGTCGGGACGATCGATGCCCTTGGCGAGCCACGCCCCTACACCTACGAGAAGTTCCTGGAGGACTACTCGACTCAGCGCGACCCGAAGAAGAAGCTTACCGTGGAGCAAGAAGAAGAACTGGCGCGCCGCGAAGCCGAGGAGCTTCGTCAGCAAAGTCTAGCGGAAGCACGCGGGACCTTCGCTTGCGCTGCTTGGGGAGCTGAAGAGGAAGCGAGCGCCTCCAATGAAGGGGGGTGGGGAAGCGCTGGAGGATGGGGAACAAGTGACACCAGCGGCTGGAGAGACAACGGCGGAACCTGGGCCAACGCGAGCGGCGGATGGGGCGCCGCATCTGGCGCCGACAAAAGCGGCTGGGGCACTTTCCGCGAAGAGCAATGGGGGGAAGAGGAAGAAGCCGCGGAAACCGAAGCAGCACCTGCAGTCGTTCCTCTCGGTCGTCCCCCGCGCCACATCCTGCTCGCACCACCTCCTGCAGATATTTCCCCGCATCGCGACCCGTGGGACACCATTATCTGGGGCAACGAGCCGTCAACCCCGCGTCGCACCGTCTACGGACCGGCCCCTGAGCCACGCGAACCAACCCTCGTCCCTGGAACCATCCCTGGGACTAACATCCCGCTCTCTGAAATTCGCGACAGAGAGTTCTTGGCGCTGATGCTGACTACCGCGGCAGAAGAAGAAGAAGTAGAAGAAGTAGCAGCAGAACCTGCTCCTGTACCTGACGAAGACCCTGAGGAAGCGCGCGCGCGCTATATGCGCACCTCTGGTTTTCGCGCTGATGATGCACTCTGGCACCAGCGCCTCGGACACCCTTCCCGCGCGACGCTGAAAAACTGCATCGACGCTGGCGTCTTCGCTCCTGGCGCACTCCTGCGCCCTGATGGCTCCGAAGTGAGTGGCGCGACACATCCGCGCAACTGCACCGTCTGCCCTGAAGCTGCGCTGAGCCACCAACCGTTCCCGCTGCTCGAACCTGGAACCAACCGCTACCCCAAGCTG